ATAAAAAAAATGCATCCTTTGTAACTGGGTCTTAATAGCTGTGGTTATCTACGGCCTTGGATATGTTGTCCTTTTGATTTTATTCTAGGCAGCAATTGGCAGAGAAGACCTAGGCTTCAAGGGTCTAGACTTCTCTTGACTATATTATTGTTGGAACCATTTCCAGGTCAATAGCCTGGGGCTTTAGGTACAAGGTTTGCTGAGGTACAAGGCAGCAGGTGCTGTTAGCTGCCTGAACAGAGAAGCAGTATTGTTTTGTTGAAGAGCATAGTCTTCAGAGTTTAATTGCAGCTTTCCCACTTGCAAAATGTGAGCCTGGCCAAGCTATGTGAGATCTCTAAACTTCACACTTGTTATCTCCAAAATTTTTTTAATAAAGGTTAAGAATTAAATGTCATAACTCTTGTAACAGCACATAGTGTTAGCTATCCCTGGGCCTAGAATGTGGTAAATGCCCAGCCAATGTTAATTGCCAAATTAATCAAGACTTTTTCATGTACATAGGACAATAAAAATCAGTCCCAAACTAACTTGCATAGCATTGGAAATTAGCTTACATAACACAAAAGTCATATTTTCAAGTTGCTTAGTCTTGCCTAGATGTAGGTTTTCAGGAAACAGAGTAAGTTCAGTGTCTTTCGTATCTCAGTTTTACTTTCTTCTACTTTTGCTTTACTTTCAGATATGTTTACTCTGTAATTTACAAAGATGACCCCTAGTAGCTTCTACTTATGTGGTCCTTAGAGCAGAGATCTCAGAAGGGGAGAGTGTATCTTTCTCAGTAGTTCCAAGAAAGTCTCAAAGAAGGCTCTCATTGGCTCAGCTTGGATCATTTGCCAATTATTTATCCAATCAGTCTAATCACTTGGGCCAGGGTTTTTATTGCTCTGATTAGATATGCAAGGTTACATATCTACCCCACAGGGGTGGAGATGAGAACTTGTAATTGTGTCTGTGTGTGTTGTGAGTGCAGCAAAGGTTATCTGAAATTCATAGACTGAGAGTAGAAATGAACTTGTTTTCCCAAAGACAAATGGGAGTTCTGTTCTGCTGCAGGAGACAAAGAATGTTGGTTATGGTAAAAGAAAATCATAATGACCAGAATATAATGACCTCCCAAACTACACATATACTCTATATGTAGTTCTTGCCATATTATCTTGCTTATTTTTTATAGCATGAGCTCATAATTATTATTAATTTTTCTTTATTAATTGATTCTCCTCCCACTGTACAGTATGTTTCATGACTTCAGGGATTAAATTTATGTTTTTCACTGCTATCAAACTGCCTGAGTCTGTAAATAATACTTTTATTTTTAGCTTAATAAATGTTGAATAAATTTTAAAAATAGATATAATTGATGCACTCTGTTTTTGTTATTCAGTGTGAGATGCAAACAAGGACGTCATTTTCAAATTCCCTGCTTTCTTAAAAGAAAACATATTTTTTTCTACCTTTACTAAGAAATTCTCGTCACCATTATTTTGTTTTCTATGGCTGTAATTGGGCCAGCATCTTTAACTCCTTTACCCATAATCTCACAGCCTCAGCCATGTAAATTCCACGGCAAACACATACGCACAGTTTTCTAACTGGTCATTTGCAAAGTGTTATTATGATCTTAGAATAGATTGCTGATGTTCTCACTCATAAGTGGTGTTGAACAATGAGAACACATGGACGCAAGGAGGGGAACATCACACACCAGGGCCTGTTGGGGATTAGGGGGACTAGGGGAGGGTTAGCATGGGGTGAGGGGTTGGGTTGGGATAACATTAAGAGAAATATCTAATGTAGATGACGGGGGAATGGATGCAGCAAACCACCATGGCATGTGTATACCTATGTAACAATCCTGAATGATACACCATGGAATGTGTATACCTATCGAACAATCCCCCGAACTTAAAGTCTAATAAATTATTTAATGCAAAAAAAGAGAACAGATTGCTGAATAACCTGAGTCTTTGTCATCAAAGATAATGTCTTAGTCTGTTTATGGTGCTACAACAAAATACCTGAGACTGTGTAATTCATAAAGAACAGAAATTTATTTTCTCCCAGTTCTAGAAACTGAGAAGTCCAAGATCAAAGTGCTCGCAGGTTTGGTTGTCTGGTGAAGGCTGATCTCATTTCCTCACACAGCAGAACAGCAGAAAACAAGCGAGCAAGCTAGCTAGATGCTGCGTGAAGCCTCTTTCATAAGAGCATTAACCCCATTAATAATGGAGGAGCCCTCATGGCCTAATTACTTTTATTTCTTCCTTTTTTGAGAAAGCAATGGATTATTCAGTAAATACGTGGAGAACATCAAAATTCAAAAACCATATTTAATCTAGGCATCTGTGAACAAAATTAAAGCATATTGCCTTGCTGAAGTTGAAGGTAACAAGAATTCACATATCTATTAGCCATCTGTGGAAATGTCCCCAGAAAAATTATGCCTTGAAAGAAAATACTGTTAATGTAGCTGAGTCCAGGTTGCCTACTCAGGTTTGTCTAAAGCAGCAGTGAATTCCAAAAGTAAGACAAGCATGATCTAATTAATTGTACATGTTCTACATGAAATGATGATGGAATGACAAACACTTTTTGTGCCTGATAAGCCTATTAATAAAGAAGAGGGAGATGGTTATTTGACTGTTTTATCTGTGGAAGAGAAAAACCAATCATAGATATTCTGGTTATAACACAGAATACTTTGGTGGGAATGGTGCACTGGTGTATTTGTTCCTTCTCACACTGCTAAGGAGAAATACCTGATGTTGGGTAATTTATAAAAGAAAGAGGTTTAATGGACTCACAGTTTCACATGCCTGGGGAGGCCTCACAATCACGGCAGAAGGTGAAGGAGGAGCAAAGCCATGTCTTACATGGTGGCAGGCAAGAGAGCGTGTGCCGGGGAACTGCCCTTTATAAAACCACCAGATTTTGTGAGACCTATTCAGTAGCGTGAGAACAATGCAGGAAAAAATGGGCCTCCATGACTCAATTACTTCCCACCAGCTGCCTCCCATGATACATGGGGATTATGGAAGCTGTAATTCAAGATGAGATTTGGGTGGGGACACAGCCAAACTATATCAACTAGGTACCCCAGTTTGACTCTACAGCACCTTTATTGTGTTTCTGTACAGCACCTTTATTGTATTACTGTTACCCCGATGATGACAACAATGAAAATGGTTCTGATGATGACAGCTATTTTCTTGAGCACTAAATGACTCTGTTAATCATTTGAAATTCATGATCTCATTTTAACACTTGAAATAAAGTATAAATTGGCACAATTATTTTTTTCCTGTTGTTCTTATGAAGAGAGGTTTTGAGAAGTTAGGTCAGTTGCCCAGGATTGTGCAGCCAATGAGTGGTATAGATGAGACTCCAGCCCAGGTCTGTTTCACTATAGAGTTAACATGCTCATAATCACTATCAGCCCTTCTGATGGTTATTTTGATGTCTTTGAAATGATCAATCTAAAGTTAAATCTACAAAAATGTCTCGCAGAGAGCTAAACCCAGGACCCATTATCAGCCAACGAAAGCACAGACAGTTCATGAGGCCCACTCTGGAATAGCCAGTTGAGTTTCCCCTCACAGCTTTAACCACATTACTCTACCGTTCACTAACTCTAGTTTGTCTAAGGTAAGCACTGGAGATCACCTTAATGCTGCTTATGTGAATCTTTAAAATCCTATTATTGGTTTCTGAAGGCTTTCATCCATCACCCCCTTGTGATGAATCTCTAACAAGGCATTTGCCCCTCCTTTCACTTTCAGATTCCCTCATCCTCAATAAATTTCTCTGTGAAGTCACAATTAATCTTGAGTAGCACATTAACCTTGTTCATATCAAAGTAACCCTGCAGGTTTTGCAGTTTTACATGCGATTAGAGACAGGTACCTCACATGCTGCGAGTCTCCTTTCACCACGCGCAGAAGGATAAGGATGAACTTTCTGATCTCTGCTCCCATTTATCTCTGTTCCCCAGGCAGGCTTGGCTATCTGCAGGGCCCTGCTAGCCTCCTAGCTTTTACACAACTCTGGCTGACCTGTTTGCCTTTTTCTCTCTTATCTGCTTATCATCTAATGAAAGTTCCTTTGCATCTTTTCATTTTCTTTAGTGCCATTGCTCAATAAATTAGTTTGAATTAAACATTCAAACTTCTCAAGCTATGCAGAAAATCTAAACCTTTTATTTAACTGATTAAAAAAAAAATCCCTGTTTAATGTCTGAGAGACTAGATTCCCCTTCAGAGATCATTGTGTTTTTGCATTCAGAAACTCAGATAATAACTCATACTCACTATGTCTCCAAAAGTAAGAAGGTTGATTAATACTTCAAGATTCCACTAGAGACAGCCCCTTCATGCAGTCTAGTTATCTGGTGACACTCAGCGATAAGCAGGAAAAGCCATGCTCAGGCTCAGAGCAAAAAGCCTTTAACATAGTGTGATCAGAATGTGACATGACCCCCTTATCACCCATCTATATTCGCTTGCTCATCTGCTATGGAACTTAACATTTCAACCATTTTAATAATATTTCAAATTTAGACTTTAGAAGCCTTTTTAAAGTATAATTAAGTCACCTGAGAAGGGTCACCTTTCCAGACATTAATGGCTATTAACATAAAATTAAGGATTAGTTTTGAGTCACTTCAATGACTCAAGAAGGACAAAAAGTGACTAATAGAGTGATATGACAAACTTAGATGTGATGAGGTGTTGGGAATGTTTTACATCAGGTGGCTCGACATCTGGAGGGCAGGTTTCGTTGGGACAGTGTGGTGAAAAGTTCAGGAATGTAACAGTGAAGGATTTTTGTCGACATAAATGAGTTGGGGGTGGAGGAATACCTACAAAGGTTGAAGTGGGCAGAGAGCCTGGGAAAACGCTAAAGTATATATGTCTATTTTTAAATTTTGTCAAAGGCTCACAGTTATTTTAAAATGGATAATTTTAACTTAATACTTGTTTCTTCTTTTCTTTTGGCAGAAATCATACCAAAGAGCATAGCAAAGAGCAAAGCAAAGGCATTGCTATATCTGATGAAACTGGTCTGCCAGTATGTGTTTCTCATCATTTCCTAACTGAAGCTCCAGATTTAGTGAAACTGGAAAGAGGTACGTGCCTCAAATGGGAATTTTTCAAGTTCCCTTATAGAGAGTGGCATTGAGCAGATCCTTTACGTTCAGTTAACTAGCATGTTTCACTAGTTTAAAGCCTCATAAAATATATGTGAGATGAAAAGAGTATGATGTATGGAATTTGCAATGTAGAGAAGTACTTTTTAAACACAACATGGAACACTTAAAGGTAAAATCATCAAATAGAGAGTATTAGGGAGGAAAAGGAGGGATAGCTGATCTGCCTGTGAGTTCAACACCAGCAGATTAGGTACCTCAAGCTGATTATTCGTCCCTAAGAGGAAAACAAAGAGACCAAATGGCCAAGCATGGAAACATAAAACTCCTATTGCAGAAAGATGAGTTTTGACAATTAGACAAAAAGGTGAAAGCTATTATTATGGAAAAGGAAAATCAGTAGATCAAAGATCACTAAGAATGACAGTGTCTAGGAAACAAATAGGAACAACTCTATTTTCTGAGGGTGACATACTCAGAGGGCTTCAGAAATAAAAAATGGGACCGAACCTGGTGGTCAAGAAACAAGCAAACAAAAAAGGGCTGAGCAACCAGACATACCTGAGGGAAATCTACATCAACAGAGAATCTTAAAGAAAAAAAATAAAGTATGGGGGTTTGGAATTACTTTTTTTGAGGAAATCAAGTAGAATCCCACTATGAAATAATTGCTTGAGAAAGAACACATCTCTTTAAAGAACAAATACAGGGACAGGGACTTATTTTCACAAGTACTAGAATCATAGTCTTTGTGAATCTCTTGCACTCTCCTGGGAATTTGTTCTAGTTCTGGAGTCACAGGGGATGTATACAAAACAGCAGTCATGGGAGAGTAAGAGAAGCCTGTTTTATTTTTTAAACCATGTTTTAAACTAAGCCATTTAGTGGATTTCCTTTGATAGAGGTAAAGAAAAATTGGAAAACAATGAAAAAATCCAGAAAAAAAATGGGTAGGGAAAGAAGAGGTGATATGAAATTTAAAAAAAAAAAAAAAAAAAAAAGGAAGAACATAAAGTAAGAGGAAACAAACTGAAGATTTTTTTTTTTTTTTTTGGAGACCTTATGAGGTACCTGGTACTGTAATAGCTCTTTTACAGTCTATTTCTTTTTATCATTTCAAAAAGTATTCCATTTTACAGATAAAGTTGAGGCACAGATCTAAGTATTACATGGCACACACAGCTGCTTTTATCCATAATCAAGGTCAATCTCTGTGACTGGAACTACCATACTTTTCTATGACAGGTTTCTTAGATTTGGATTTAGAAGACCTGGATTCAGTCTTACAGTCTTGCCCTGTCACGTATCAGCTATGATATTTTGTTTTGTTTTAATATAGAGTCTTGCTCTGTCACCCAGGCTGTAGTGCAGTGGTGCAATCTTGGCTCACTGCAATCTCTGGCTCCCAGATTCAAGCAGTTCTCCTACCTCAGCCTCTGAATAGCTGGGATTACAGGTGTGCACCATCACCTCTGACTAATTTTTGTATTTTTAGTAGAGATGGGGTTTCACTCTGTTGGCCAGGCTTCAATTCCTGAACTCAAATGATCCACCTGTCTTGGCTTCCCAAAATGCTGAAATTACAGATATGAGCCACCACAGCTGGCCTGATGTTAAATTAATGCAACAATTTTTTTATTTATTAAGTGCTTACTATGTGCCGTTGGCTCTTCTAGATACCTAGGAATCAGCAATGGATTAAGCAGAGAAAAGTTCCCACTTGTATACAGCACATATTCTAGTGGGGGTAGCTGCTTGCAGGGGCCCTCAGACAAGTCAATACACTTCTCTCAGTTTGTCTCATTACCTCTAAAATGAGACATTTATAATATGTCATTCACAAGATCTGTTTCTGTGACTGAACTTGACAGCTATAAACTGTGATATGCTTTACAAACACTATTCTCTGATCACCTAGAACATGCCTGGCATGCAGTAGTGCTCAGTAACTGCTGCATGAGAGGGAAGAAAACAAGAGAGAAAGAGAGGCAGAAGAGCAGGTGGGAGTGATGGCTGTAGGTGCTCTTCAGCGGCTTCTGGTTATGGATGATCCAGTCATATTTCAAGGCAGAAGCAGAGTACAATATTGGCAGAGATGGATCTTTTTTGTATTACTTGAAAAAATAAAATTATAGTCTACCCTTCTAAAGCAAGTAGTTGATATTTGGAGTTGGAATGGTAGGATTGAGGTAGGGATCATCAGAGCAACATCTAGGGGGATCACATGGGTAAGACTGAGACATTCACACTCAAGGAGCCATGTGTTAATAGTACAATGGATGTTACAGTTTGTTCCAATTCCCCTGGCCTTCTGCCCTCCTTACCTTTTAAGAAAAAAAAGTAATTCTGGCATGGTTGTCCATAAAATACCAATTACAGTTAAGATGGCATGAAATCTCCTAGACTCGGCATCTCCCACTCTGTCCTAGACAGGACATTACCTCGACTGTCTTTTAGATATTTCCGGCTCATTCAAGTCCCAAGGGGGGTAGGTCTCGTGTTTAACTGGTGTCTCATCTTGCAAACGTGTTAGTCAATGCTTATTCCCCTGTACGTAGTGAGACTCATGTAGAGGCAACAGTCATTTGAACTGATTGAAGTACTCAGGCTTGGCAGATTATAAAGTCAGAGACCAGATCTCAGAAAACCATACATACAGACACACACATACCCACAACATAAGGCAAGGTATGGCCACAACACAAATGAGAGACACTTCAGTGTTAGAATTTGTTTTGCCATCCCAGGTACCAAATAGAAATGGAGTTAAACTTTGTGTAGGGATTAAAACTTTATTTTCACATAGTAGCACTTATACTATGTACTTTTTACCCCTGCTGAGCCATCCTGCTTACTTAAAGGGTGCTGTGAGTGGCGGTTGCTCTACAGTCTCCTGACTGAATGTGTCTTTCCTGACAGTTTACTTAGTGGTAAACACCACAATGTTACCATGTCCATTTACAGAGGATATGAAACAAAGGAACAAAGGAAGAGTTTGTGTGATAGTGATCTTTTTGTGATTCCAAATGCCATGTTCTTACTCTACTTAATCTTTCCGTTATGTCTTTATTTGGACCAGGCACTCGCATTGATGTCAAACCAGCTGGCTTCAGGGCAGATAAGAACATCCTGACATTCCCTGAAGGGGCTTGACTTATAAAGGCAGTACTTGTAGCTGTTTCTGTTTGAAGAACTTTTGCACAATTTGATAATCATAAACTATTTTTAAATGTAGCAAAAATCACTTCATTCAAAGTCCAGTAACAATTTGGTAGCAGCAACATACTCTCTCATGACTCTGCTCTCAAGTCTACTAAATGGAAGGTTCTATCTTCTGACTTGAAAAAAGCCTGCTTTTTAGAGAGCATTTATTTGTGTCCGAAGCACATTTAAATATAAATTGCAATACTTAATGCCTAGTTTTATAACATGTCATTTACAATCCATTAAGTATTTTATTACATGAATTGTATAAGAAACAGATTTATAGACCTCAATTATGGTATTAATAAGGGATGATGGAATCTCACTGAAGATATATTTCCCTTCAGTTTTTACAGAACTTTATTGTTACAGCATGATGTGAACTAGATTCTTAATGTTTTATTATAAGAAGACTGGAAACAAGTGTTCTGATAGGCAGAAGGCATAAGAAAACATTCATATTATCACTAAAGATTATTTCTTTAAAACCAATGAGTAAAAAATAGGCATGTATTGAGTTTTGACAGAATATTTTAAATCAAGTTAGAAAATAAGTTTTATTTGTTCTCATGGTATATAGTAGTAAACTATTTCTAAAGTGTGTATTTTTATAGATAAGAGCCCCAACTACTCACTGCATGTGGTAGTTCATGTATTTGAGGTCACAGGCTTAAGTGTATTCCTCTAATATTTTGATTATATACATTTAGAAGAAATTTCAAGATAATTTAACATCTTCAACTTTTATTTACAAAGGGCATCTGGATGGGTCAACGAGTATGAAAGGGGCTATATAATTGACAGAATGAAAGACCATAACTTGTCTGGGATATGATCTAGTTGGGATCCATGTTTCCCAGGTGGAAATTACACGTAGGTTTCAAAGCTTCGAGGACTCAGTGAGGATTAAGAACGATCTGGTGCTGACTTTTTCCCAGGAAGCGTCCAGGGAAACAAAACAGCTCCACAATCACTATTTCTGCACAGACAGTAGTACACAGAGGTCATAAAATCATCTGGCTCTCTTCCCTGTGTAGGAGTTGTGTGTGGGAGAACTCAAAGGACTGATTTCACTGCTGGCATGAGAATTTCAGTCCATTTTAAATGATTGACTACAATTTCTAAATTGTGATTTGCAACTAGTGGTTAGGAATTGCCTCCTTTCCCTATATTTGTAAATGGTGTGCATTAATTACAATCTTATTTCTTTGCTTAAGAGAATCAGTCAGACTGACTTAAAGTAACAAAGTCCCTTATATTTGCTTCAGACCGTTTCTTAGCACAATGAGTGTCACTACTGCTATTTTCAGTGTTTCATTTCCTTTTGCTATGAACATTATCAGTTTTATTAGTCATTATTTTTGTTTCTGATGTGTTTTCAAGATGTTGATGACAGTATGTCATTATCAACTAAGAAGTTTGCAGTATTTAACTCTATATACAATGCGCAGTAGAACTGATTTGCATAGTAAATTAAAATTACATTATCATGGAATTTACCCTTGTAAAGAACTTTAACAATTATTTGTTTAAATTTGAAATCCCTGTTTTAAATAGGAGAAGAAAGCCTGCAGAAGTGAAATGACTTAGCCAACATCATACAGTGAATTAGTGGCAGTTCTAGGTTTAAAGTTCAATAGTTTATGTATTCAGTACATATTATGAGATAAACGTCATTCTAAGACTTTACCTATACTAGCTAACATAATTCCCATAATTATTGCATGTAGTGGGCCTACCATTATCCTCATCCTAAAGATGAGGTAACCAAAAGC